AAAGGCACCTACCAGATGAGGGTGGGAGGCAACAAGGGCAGGAAGGAAGAGGCCCCACTGGATGGGACCCCTTGCACTGAATCCCTCCTCACTCCCTCATTTTTGCACCCTTCATGCTCCGCCTCCTGCTCTGCTCCCATCACCAGTCCCCTGTCCTGAGCTCCTCCATCTTTCAACCTGACGTCTGTTCCCTCATGCCCCAGCATCCTGTACTGCCATTCCCCCCATCTCCAAGGCCTTGCCCTGATTCCTTCACATACACACTGCCAGCCCCCTGCCCTGAACAACCTGGGTAATGCCAGGTAAGTCTTCTTGTATTACAAAATACATGCCCCTTATTTTGGAACATCATAGTCACAGGCCATAATGGTGATGCCCTTAATCTATTATGGAATTTACTTCAGCATAACTCAGCTCTCTCAAGGGAACCCCATGCTATACATTTTTCTCAGAAGTGTGCAGGGAGCTCAATAGGCTTACTCCAAAATTAAATGTACTCTAAGTGCACCAAGTCTTAGATTTTTTGGTAATTTAGAATTGGATCTGCATCCTTGCTGAAAAGATAAAATAGATGATTAACTGAATAAAAGAGTGAGAAGAATAGAGAAGAATAACCATTCAAAATCACTTTTGAATTCTGTGTCAGGATCCCATTTAAGCGTAAGAGACTTAGACTGTTCATATGCAACAACTTCATCTGTTGGTACTTTTAGCAGCAGTGCTGCAACAAAACAAAGTACAGTAGCAAGCAAAAGAGATCAATCATCCAGTAAAACCACCACCATGAATGGGTTTGTAGTAAGGACCAGCAAATACCAACAAGACATAATAGATGAAAAGATTTCTCAATTCATTTATGCTACAATTTATCTTTTTTGTGTTGTTAACAATAAACACCTTCACTGACATGGTTGAGCCCTTACAACCATGCTACACTCCACCTGGTAGAGCAGACATTGTTGGAAGGTTACTACACACAATGCATGAGAACAACTTCAAATGTAGGCAAGAAACACGGAGGGAAATTTGCCAGTTTAAGCCTTGATGAGTGAAGCAATGCACACAATGATCCAGTAATGTGCGCCAGTGTGAGAACAGAAGATGGGGTTGCATATCTTTTGGAAACAATAAATACATCGGGAAACACCCACACAATAGAATATTTAAAAGAAGTGGCAGTGAAAGCTGTAATAAACTGTGAGCAAACATTCAACTATCACGTGCACAGTTTTGTGTCAGACAATATTGAAAACATGGCAAGGATGAGAAGATACAGGCAGTCCCCGGGTTACATACAAGATAGGGACTGTAGGTTTGTTCTTAAGTTGAATCTGTATGTAAGTCGGAACTGGCGTCCAGATTCAGCCGCTGCTGAAACTGATCAGTTTCAACAGCGGCTGAATCT